CTTCTCGAAGGGGCAGAACTGAACCCGAACCTGCTTGACGCACCGGAGCCCGAGCCGAGCCATGGCCGCCGCCATGATGACCTCCGCCCCGGAAGGACTCGCGCGGGCGGAAGTGCCCCCCGGACAGAACGGTAGGCGTGGCTTGGCCTTCCACCGCGGTGAAACGCGGCCTCTCCGGTGCCCCGTTGGCTGTGACCTGCCGGTCCGGCCTTCAGACGGGCAGAGCGAACAGGAAGAGGGCGGGGAGGGAGAAGTCATTTTCTCACAGAGCATGGAGGAGCGCCATCTAAGCAGTCAGGAATATTTTGGTGGTGGTGGTCGTCGTCGTGGGGTTTGAACTCGGCCTGGGCGCTGTCCCTGCGCTCTACCGCTTGAGCCACAGCACCACTTCCGGTTTTCTAGTGGTTAACTGGAGATAAGAGTCTCACGGACGGGACTGGGAAGGTGGCTCAGTGGTAGAGCGCTTGCCTTTCATGCCTGAGGCCCTGGGTTCGACTCCCCACATAAGCAAAAAGAAAAAAGCCGGAAGTGGTGCTGTGGCTCAAGAGGTAGAGCAATAGCCTTGAGCTGAAGAGCTGAGGGTCAGCTCCGAGGCTCAGAGTTCAGGCTCCACGACTGGACCCAAAAACAAAAAAAGAGTCTCACAGACTTTCTTGCCCGGGCGGTAGGAATATCATTATGATACTTGGACCACCGCGATGAGAACAAATAATGCAAACCTGTCTTCAGCAACATTTCCCTTCCTCTGTCAGATCTAGGTTAACACCTTCTTAAATCCTGGATCCTTCCAAGAAAATGGCAGTATCACAGCAAAGATTATTCACTGACTAGGAGGAAAACTCCAGTCCAGTAACTGAATGAATAACCAAACGTGAAAGCCCTACATCCGAAATATGCACATATGCAGTACCTTTTTTGTTTTTTATTTTGGTCAGTCATGGGCCTGAATTATTGGCCTGGGCGCTATCCCTGAGCTCTTCAGCTCAAGGTGAGCACTCTACCACTTGAGCCATAGCACCACTTCTGTCTTTTTCTGCTTATGTGGTGCTGAGGAATCAAACCCAGGGCCTCATGCATTGCAAAGCAAGCACTCTACCACTGAGCCAACTTCCCAGCCCCGAAATATGCACATATGAATGGGCATTGAACGCAGGGCTTTTCACGTGCTAATAAACACGCACCTGAGCCGCGCTCTGTCCATTATTTGTTCTGTATTGTGGACTGAACCCAGGGCCTTGATAGGCATGACAGGCAAATCGTCTTATCACTTGAGTCACACCCCTAGCCCAGTCCAATATATTTTGTGTGTGTATCCTGGTGCTGGAGACTGAACTCAGAACCTAGTGCTCTTTGCTTGGCTTTTTCACTCAGGCTGGCCGCATCTCCACTTCCAGTTTTTTGTCTCCCAACCCCTCCCCACCCTGTCCTGGGCTCATGGCTGTCTACCACTTTGAGCCTCAGCTCCACTTCTGGTTTTCTGGTGGTTAATTGGAGATAAGACCTCAGCCTCATGAATAGCTAGGATTACAGACATAGAGTACAAGTATGAGCCACCGGTGCCAGGCCAACTTCCAGGTATCTGCTGGTTAATTAAGAGATAATTAGACTTTCCTGCTTGAGCTGGCTTTGAACTTCAATCCTCAGGTCTCAGCCTCCTGAGTAGCTACGATTACAGGTGTGAATCACTAGTGCCCAGCTCCAGTCTAATTTTTTTTTTTAGTGATGATGATTATTCTGATAAGAGGATTTGAACTCAGGGCCTAGTATTTGTTAAGAATTGAGCAATGCCCCCAGCCCAATATTCTTTTTGGTTGGTCATGGGGCTTGAACTCTGGGCATGGGCGCTGTCCCTCAGCTCTTCAGCTCAAGGTGAGCACTCTACCACTTGAACCACAACACCACATCCATTTTTCTGGTGGTGAACTGGAGATTAAGAGTCTACAGACTTTCCTGCCTGGGGACTTTGAACTGTGATCCTCACATCTCAGCCTCCTGAATAGCTAGGATTACAGGCATGAGCCACCAGCACCCAGCTCCTAATACTCAATTAAAAATAATAAATAATGAGAAGGGCAGTACTAGGATAAGACAGGCCTGGAGACTGTTCTACGTGTAGATTTGCTTATTCCACCTGTGTAGTTCCCCACAAATTCACTTTTTAGCCTGGCTCTTAGGACTTAAGAGAAAGCACTATTTGGCCTCTCTAGTTTTTATTCATTTTCCCCTTTTTCTTTGTCTCCTAAGATCCAACCTTCTATCCCTCCTCCCACTTCTTGCTCTGAGATGCTGTCATTGAGGGGAAACCAGGTTTGAGCCTCCCAAAGATGCTGACCTTTCAGGTTCCAGGTTATGGTTTTGCCTTTTACTCTGGATTGTACGTTCTTAAAAGTCTAGATTCTGTGTAGTTTACGTATGCTTTCTTCCATGCTCCCAATTCTAGAGTCCTTCAGTTCCATATATCTGGGCTTTTCCAGCCAGGATGTGGAACTTTTGGACCTAGGCTTGTTAGGATTCCACACTGGTTCCCAGGCAGGAAAGAAAAGGTAGGTGCCAACGAGGGTGCTGGTGGTGCCTCAGGGCGAGCCAAGCCTGCTGATTTCCCACCAGGTAAACCTCAGGGTTAGGTCCCCTTCCTCCCAAGTTGCTTAATAGCTGAGTTGTATGGGCTGTGGGTGCTCCAAGCCGAAGAGGGGGCTCCAAGCTCTCCAGACTGTTGAGGCTGCTGTGGGGCAATTCTGTCGTCTGGACCTCATGACAAACACCTGGTAAGGGAGGAGTGGAAAGCAGATGGCTGATAGTTAAGTGCTAAAGACAGAGCAGTGATGAGTCTGGGCTGTGGGTTACTTAAAGCAGTGAAAGAGGGGTGAGGAGAATGTGGACTGGGGAGATGACTCACAGCAACAGGAGTGCCTCCTGTGGACTCTATTCTTGGGCAGGGGCTGCTGCAAAAGACACAGCAGCGCCCCATCTAGCTGCTGGAAGATGCCAAGCATGAGCAGAGTCTGGCGAAGCTCCAGAGACAGGCCCCACTGCTCCTCTTCTAGCAACTCCTTGACCACTCCAAAGTCTTGTTTGAGCTGCAGTGCCCCCTGCAGGCTGAATTTCCAAGTACAATGTGACCACCTGCCTCTGGCCTCCAAACCTCCATATCCCCTCCCATTTTCCAGTTTCATTCATTCCTCTTTTCTCCCCACCTGAACCGGATCCCATGGGTGAGGATGTAGTCAAGCCAAGCACCCAGTATGGCTGTCAGTGCATGACTGAGGACAGGAGCCTGGGCTTGTGGTGGCAATCCCTGCAATCCTTGCAATATAGGTTCCAGTACAGAGCGGACCACCACCCCAGCATACTCACTAGGAGCACTGGGAAGTTCTGGAGTGAGAGAAGAAAAAGGACAGGAAGTGAGGCTATGGAGGGTTTGGGAGAAGAGAGTTGGCTATCAGGAGGGGAGGGCACAGAAGGTAAGGTCAAGGATGGAGACAGTAATGTGGAGCCAGGATTTGGAGAGGTTGGGTCACTCTTACCCTCCTCCCTCCCTGGAAAGGAATCACTGTAATGAGAAGTTACCAGGACAGAGATGAACTCTCCAGTATCGGCCCCGTGGCATGTGGAGCTTGAAGCCCTGTGTGGCTTGTTTATGACATTCTTGATAAAAGATACTTAATGACTCTTCAGGCAGGAGCTGTGGGGATAGGAAGAATGTAAAATGATCTTATCTGTTAAGAGACTTGTCAAATTATAATGCTTTTCTAGAGTTAAGGGCCATGGTTCAAGTGGTAAAGCAATTGTCTAGCAAGTGCCAGGTCCTATGTCCAATCCCAGTAACCAAAAAGAAAAAGGTCCTTTGAGATATTCAACTTGGTGTCCATAAACCCTAGATTTACATGCATAACTGTGTAGGCATGGGAATTTTCTTATGAAAGATGCCATTGTTTTGAGTTTTCCAAGTGTTCTGACCTAAATTATGAACAATTGCTTTAGGATTAGCCTGTTCTTCTCAGCTTTGATCCGGTGGATGGAAAATTCTCCATAAATTAATAAAATTAATTTTATTCTATAGGGACTTTAGAGGGGGAAAAAGAGATGTCCTGCCACCACCATCTACAACCATAGTTTAAAAGTTTTTCCAAAAAAAAAAAAAGTTTTTCCCAGTTGGATACAGGTGGCTCATGCCTGTAATCCTACCTACTGAAGAGGCTGAGATCTGATGATTCAGGTTCAAACCAAGCATGGGCAGGAAATCCATGAGACTTTGTCAGTTGTGGGGCTTGCACTCAGGTCCTGGGTGCTGTCTCTGAGCTCTTTTACTCAAGGCTACCTCTACCACTTTGAGCCACAGCTCCACTTCCTGTTTTCTGGTAGTTAATTGGAGATAAAAGTCTCACAGACTTTCCTTCCCAGGCTGGCTTTGAACTCAGATCCTCAGATCTCAGCCTCCTGAGTAGGATTACAAGTGTGAGCCACACAGTACCTAACTTCCATGAGACTGTTATCTCCAGTCAACCAACAAAAAGCCAGAAGTAGAGGCATGGTTCAAGTGGCATAGTGCCAGTATCAAGCAAAAATGCTAAGGAACAATGCTCAGGCCCTGAATTCAAGCCCTAGTATTGGTGTACATAAAATATTTTCCAGTGTTAAAAGGCAGACAGATGGACAGAGGCTGAGGGGAAAAAGGGAAGTCCTTTCATTAAAGATTCTTGACCACCTACTACCATTTCTACAGAGCAACATAACCCATAATACAAGAAAAGTTACATTAAAAATATATATTTTTTGGTCTAGGAATGTGGCTTAGTGGTAGAGTGCTTGCCTAGCATTCATGAAGCCCTGGGTTCAATTCCTCAGTACCATATAAATAGAAAAGCCAAAGTGGTGCTGTGGCTCAAGTGGTAGAGTTCTAGTCTTGAGCACAGAGTCTCAGGGACAGAGCCCAGGCCCTAAGTTCAAGCCCTAGGACCTGCAAAAAAAAAAAAAAAGTTTTGAGGCCAGGTACCTGTGGCTTACACCTGTAAAATCGAAAGTGGCTCACATGGTAGAGCACTAGCCTTGAGCTGAAGAGCTGAAGGACAGCGCCCATGCCCAGAGTTCAAGCCCCAGGACTCGCAAAGCAAAAAAGTTTTGTTTGTTGATTTGGCTTGTTGGTGGTTTGTTTTTGCAGGGAGAGAAGACAGCAATAAAGAGGGTCTCGCTCTACAGCCTATCTCAGAAGAAAAGAACCTAGAGAGATAAGGCAAATTGCAGCAGCTCAGGAAAGAAAATGTAAGCCAAGTATAGTGGCATATACCTACAATCTAGCACTGAGGAGACTGAGGCAGAAGATGGTGTATTCTAGGCCAGTCTAGGCTACAAAGTAAATTTAACTGCAACCTGGGCTACATAGCAAGATCCTACCTTAAAACAAAAGTGAGGAGGAGAGTAAAAGAGGGGAGAAGAAAAAGGAAAATGTAGATGCTGTGGAACCAAAAAAGAAGTCCTGGGAAAGGCTGGGGGTGGTGGTGGTAGTGGAGATATAGGAGCCCATGTGGCTTTTTAGAACAGCTATCAACAACTGTTTTTAGTTTAAATCTAAACTTTACTTCTCCAGCAAATCAGATTTCCCCCTTCCTTCCTTCCTTCCTTCCTTCCTTCCTTCCTTCCTTTCTTTCTTTGTTCCTTTCTTTCTCTGTCTGTCTGTCTAGTAAATTATCCTTTTGCCACTAGATGTCTGTTAGGAACCTCCATGCTAAATACTCTAGTACAAGGTACACAGAATAAGACTGCTTCCATACTGTCTGGGACCTTATAGTTTAGCTTGAGAGAAAAATCACATCTGATTCTTCTTTGTTGTCCTAGGGCCATATGTACTGAAGTACTATGAGCAAAAGCTCAACTGTACAATTGCCAGGAAGAGAAGCAAGACATGTGAAGAACATTGCATAGTATTTAGTTCATATGGGAAGCACATTCTCCCTTTCCCGCTTGTGTTTTTTTTTTGGGGGGGTGGGTCCAGTCGTGGGGCCTGAACTCTGGGCCTGGGCCTGGGCACTGTCCTTCAGCTCTTCAGCTCAAGGCTAGTGCTCTTCCACTTGAGCCACAGCGCCACTTCTGGCTTTTTTCTTTTTGCTTACGTGGTGCTGAGGAATTGAACCCAGGGCCTCATGCATGCAAGGCAAGCGCTCTACCACTGAGCCACCTTCCCAGCCCTCCTTCTTGTTCTGTTCTCACTCCAACTACCAAGAAAAGTCCATGGGATTCTATCTCCAATTTTCCAGTAAAAGATCATAAGTGGAGGTGTGGTTCAAGTGGTAGAGCGCCATCTATGAGCAGAAAAACCCGAGTGAGAGTATAGGGCCCTGAGTTCAAGCCCCAATACTGGCAAAGAAGCCTTCCTAACTTTTTTTTTTCTTTTTTTTTTTTTTGGGTCCGGTCATGGGACCTGAATTCTGGGCCTGGGCGCTGTCCCTCAGCTCTTCAGCTCAAGGCTAGCGCACTACCACTTGAGCCACAGCGCCACTTCCGGCTTTTTTTTTCTTTTTGCTTATGTGGTGCTGAGGAATCGAACCCAGGGCCTCGAGCATGCAAGGCAAGCACTCTACTACTGAGCCACCTTCTCAGCCCACTTTTTTTTTTTTCTAGTATTGGGGATTGAACTTAAAGTTTCATAAATGGTAGGTAGTCTACTACTGAACTACATTTCCAGCTGTATTTCACTTTTTTGGGGGCGGGAGAAGTGGTACTGGGGATTGTATCCAGGGCCTACAGCATGCTAGGCAAATGCCTTACCCATTGAGCCACAACCCCAACACCTGTTTTTTTTTTTTTTGTAGGTCATGAGGCCTGAACTCTGGGCCTGGGCACTGTCCCTCAGCTCTTCAGCTCAAGGCTAGCGCTCTACCACTTGAGCCATAGCACCACTTCCAGCTTTTTCTGATTATGTGGTGCTGAGGAATTGAACCCAGGGCCTCATTCATGCAAGGCAAGCACTCTACCACTGAGCCACCTTCTCAGCCCCTGCTTTTTTTTTTTTGAGACAGGGTCTCGCCAATTTTGGCTATGCTGGCCTCAAACTTGTCATTTTCCTACCTCCTCCTCCAAAGTCAGGAAGGTATTTTAACTTTTCTATTTTTTTGCCAGAACTGGGGCTTGAATTCAGGGCTTGGGTCGCTGTCTCTGAGCTTTTGCCACAGTGCTACTTCCAGCTTTTTCTGTTAATGTGGTACTGAGGAATTGACCCTGGGCTTCATGCAGGCTAGGCAAGCACTCTACCACTAAGCTGCCAGCCCTATTTTAACTTTTTAAGCAATGGACATGTAGTACTTTAACAAAAGTACAAATTAAACATTTAAAGAGAGTAGAAACATTGTAGTGAACATTGGTAGGATAAGGGGGAAAGATATACTCATTAAACCTACTTTTCTGTACAACATGAACTGCATGTAGCCAAATTATTAAGGACACATTTCTGTGTATAGGCAGGTCCCAACTAATGAAGAAGAGAGGATAGAATCAGAATATCAACCCTTTGCAACCTTAAATGAAATAATGAGCCTGAGCATGACTGTTAGTGTCTATTAACAACACAAGAGAATTTAGTAGTGTGGAGGAAAGGGATGGGCCTAAAAGTGAAACAAAGTTGATAAGTCAATAACTGTTAATGCTGTGTTAGTGGGGTATATTAGTATATATTTGTGGGGTTTTTTTCTTTTTTCTTTTTTTTTTTTTTTAGGTCCTGTCATGGGGCCTGAACTCTGGGCCTGGGCGCTGTCCCTCAGCTCTTCAGCTCAAGGCTAGCGCTCTACCACTTGAGCCACAGCACCACTTCCGGCTTTTTTCTTTTTGCTTATGTGGTGCTGAGAAATTGAACCCAGGGCCTCAGGCATGCAAGGCAAGCACTCTACCACTGAGCCACCTTCCCAGCCCCTAGTATATATTTGTTTTTAGAATTTTTCCATAGTTTGTACTCAACAGAGATGAGAGCTAAGAATTTCTCAAGCAGACAAATCCTAGAGACTCTTATCTCCAATTAACCAGCAAAAAATTGAAAGTGGAAGTGTGACTCGAGTGGTAAAGCACTAGATATGAGTAGCAAAAGTCCAGAACACCAGGCACTGGTAGCTCATGCCTGTAATCCTAGCTACTCAGGAGGCTGAGATCTGAAAATCACAGTTTGAAGCCAGCCCATGGAGAAAAACTCCCTGTGAGACTCTTATCTCCAAGTAAACACTCAAAAACCAGAAGTGGAACTGTGGCTCAAAGTGGTAGAGTACTAGCCATGAGCAAAAAGAGCTTAGGGGCAGTGGCCAGGCCCTATGTTCAAGCCCCATGACCAACAAAAAGTACAGAAAAAACTGCAGGCCCTAGGTGGGTGCTGGTGGTTCATGCCTTTAACCCTAGCTACTCAGGAGGCTGACATCTGAGGATCAAAGTTTGAAACAAACCTGGATATATAAATCAGTGAGACTCTTATCTCAAATCAACGAGCGAAAAGCCAGAAATGGAGGTGTGGCTCAAGTATTAAAGCCATCCTGAAGCAAAAAAGCCAAGCAAGAATATAAGGCCCTGAGTTCAAGCCCCAGTACTGGTGCATGTTTGCACATGCACATAGGCACATACACACACACACACTTACTTTCCAGGCCCTTTTGAGTTCAAGCCCCAGTTCCAGAAAAGCAAACAAACACAAATTAACAGAGCAAGAGAAGATAAATCTCCAAGGAGATTTCAAATCACTAAGATGTTCCACTCTGTCTATCCCAATTCTCTTCCTCTAAGTTAGCAAACAGCAGGTTCTTTAATTGCAATTGTCAGGGGGTCTTGTGCTCACCTTCATCTGTGCGGTTAGCTTCTGAATCTCCAGGCCCAGATGCTGCTCCAGCTCTAGAACTAAGCTTTCTTCTGAGGTCAGGTTAGCCAGAGCTTCCACTTCATGCAATAGAGGCTTTGGATGGAAAGCTGGAGTGAGGGCTCAGCCCAGCCTAGGGTGCTCCCCTCTCCACTCCCTAGGCACTCACTGGTAAGTCCTTTTGGATCAGGAGCAGGAAGGAACCTGGGCACCACGCTGTCAGGTGCTGCTGAGCTCTGCCCAAAAACCAGAGCAAGGTAGTCTGCAGGGTACAGAGTCCCAGGGCAATAGGTGCAGGACCTATGAGGGTAGCAGCAGAGTATCTTAGGGGTCTTTTGGGAGGAGGATGACTTCAGAACAGAATTAGGGAATATACTCAATTGTTTTGTTCCCCTTTGCCCCATTCCAGACCTCCCTCTCACCTAGAGACTGTTGAAGGATCAATCCCGACCTAGGTTCTTGAAGGACATCCAAGAGAGGAGGAAAGAGCTTCTCCAACAGTTCAGGGGTACCAGCTGCTGAGACAGGACTGCTCTGATTCCTAAGGGTTGATCCCAACGCCTGGCAGAAACCTGAGGATAAGAGGATATAGACTGAAGCAGAGGCGCAACTTGTAACGTGTAACACTCCCAGTGTCCCAGTCTTCTCACCTTGGTCCCAGGTCCAGATCAGAGACTGATGAAGTAGTCTGTGACACACTGAGGCCAGCTCCTTTTCACATTCCTGAGGCAGATATGCTAGTGGGAGAAATGACTCTGGAGCTTGAAAACAGAGACTCCCTTTCCACCGCCCCTTTCCATTCAATGATGGATCCTCTAGGACTCAAGACTGGTGGAAAGCAAGACTTTGCCTTGAAAGTGTACAAGGCTGTAGTCTGAACCCAGGAACTATTCCATCTATAAGACCTGCTTCTGTTGTCAGGCCGGCAGGTGAGTAGGCTGACTCAGGAGACGGAAGAGACACCAGCCCTCCCAAATGCCCACCCAGGTCCATCACTTACCCTGACCCAGTGCCTGACTCAACTGTTCTGCTACTGCTTTGGGGTCCCTCCAGGGTCCCAGATGTAGGTCCAGACGCTGAGCACATGCTGCCCACAGTAGTGTCCAGTATTGGCTCCACAGGAATCCTTTCTCTCCAAGCCCCGCTCCACTGCTATCTAGACTTGACAGATTCCCTATTAAACTCAGAAGCCCTGGTAGCAGCTCGTGCTCCTCCTGGCACCACCTGCGGAGCCTGTTCTGCCCGTCAGATCCCCTGAGTGCCTCCTCCAGCAGACTAGCCACCTGGCAACCCCGCTCCCGGGTCAGGAGGCACAACACACGGGTCAGGGGAAATGGGCGCGCTGCCCCGGGGAGGTGGCTCAGGACGTTTTCCAGTAGCCTGTAGTAGACGGGAAGCGCCAGCTCCAATTCGGCGAGTTGGGACGTCCGTCCTAGGCAGGCGGGTGCCCGACCGAGAGCACGAAGCTGCATTTCGATGACCGCATCCAGGCGCTGGACGGCGAGTCCCAGGGGGCGCGCCAGGAGTCGCGGCTCAACAGGGTCCCGAAGGCCAGCTCCGGGGATCGTACCTCGGAAAGGGTGCAGCTGCAAGTCGCGGCACAGCTGAGGCAAAGGCCCGGGCCCGCGGGCAGGCGCGCGGGGGGACAAGGCCCTCAGGAGACTCACGACCCCCTGGAGGTGGCGGGCGCAGTCCCGGGCCTGGAGGAGCTGCTCCCGCTCGCGGTGCAGCCGCAGCAACACCGCCCTCAGACGCTGCAGAGCCGGGGGCAGCGGG